AGGTTGCTATGAGCTGTAATGCCACGGCACTCTACCCAGGGGGACAGCTTGAGGCTCTGTCTCAAAAAAAAACAAAAAAAACAAACCAATCTTGGTTTAACCAGACACTCTGCAAACTGGTTGGCCTCCTAGAAAGTCCTGTTTATTTTATTTATTTATTTTTTTTGTAGAGACAGAGTCTTACTTTATCGCCCTCGCACAGCTCACAGCAACCTCCAACTCCTGGGCATAGGTGATTCTCTTGCCTCAGCCTCCTGAGTAACTGGGACCACAGGTGCCCGCCACAATGCCTGGCTGTTTTGTATTGCAGTTTGGCCCGGGCTGGGTTTGAACCCACCACCCTTGGTATATGGGGCTGGCGCCTTACCCACTGAGCTGCAGGTGCCGCCCAAAAGTCCTGTTTATATTTTATTGTTTAACAAGGAGCTCAGGCCAGCCTGTTGTATTTGCCTGGGAGATGGTGTTGATTGTCCTTGTCCAGAGTACCTCTTTTGTAAAGTGATAGGCTGTTGAGATATATCTCCTTTTGTTAAGTCTCTGTAGATGTATGTGATTAGTGATGATGACATTATGATGACGTGTGACCCCATATCACTGACATCCCTCTTCGTTTACTGTGAGGTTCTTGAGTGATTCTTTTGTACTTTTCTGTGATGACCACCTCTTCCGTAAGGCAAGGGAAACAAGCCAACACACTGTCTAGGACTTCCATGTAGAGCTCAACACTGTGACACTTTGTTCAGACACACTGATGTTACCAAATTATAGTTGCAAGTCCTGATGGTTAAGCTGATTGCAAACAGACTATTAAATATGAATGGAGCAAATTCTATGTTACAGGTATATTCTGGAAAAATTCTTATCCATCTGGATGAGGGCAGGGCTTTTGACTCATCTGAATCAAATGACCATCCATGTAGTTTTTTATTCATCTTTCTTCATGAGAATCCCTTGTGTTCTGCTAAGAGTGGATTCAGTACGTAGGCTATCAGCCATTATACCCTTGGAATGTTTCTCATTTGCCAAGAATAACTGAGGAATAATTGTATTTTATCTTTTAATTCAAGGAGAAAAAGGTGGTTTCTGATTACTTTGTCATGATGTATCTTTTTTTTTTTTTTTTTTTTTTTTTTGAGACAGAGTCTCACTTTGTTGCCCTGGGTAGAGTGCTTTGGCATCACAGCTCACATAAACCTCAAACTCTTGGGCTTAAGCGATTCTTTTGTCTCAGCCTCCCAAGTAGCTGAGACTACTGGTGCCTGCCACAACGCCCAGCTGTTTTTAGAGATGAGGTCTTGCTCTGGCTCAGGCTGGTCTTAAAGCCATGAGCTCAGGCAATCCACCCTCCTCGACCTTCCAGAATGCTAGGATTACAGGCATGAGCCACCACGCCCAGCTGTCGTGATGTGTCTTGTCTTATAATTGCCTATTTCTGCCATTACTTCCTGCAGCTTAAGAATGGGACTGGCACAGAGTTGGGTTAATGCTTCCAAGGACAGAGAGACCTTAGCACTGAAACTAACTAGCTCTATTCAGCTAGGTTAACTTATCATAACCTAACAGAACTGTTGTTCTTGGGCATCATTTGTTGGGTTTATGATTTGGCTTGCCCAAGAATCTCGCTAAAACTTGGGCCTGTTTTATTTAAATTCTTGGGAATACTCATGTTCCATAGGAAGAACATTTAGTAGGAATGTTTTGAAAAAAGAAAAAAAAATGGATTTATGGATTTTTTTTTTTTTTTGCAGTTTTTGGCGGGGGCTGGGTTTGAACCTGGGTTTAAGCCAGCACCTTACTCCTTTGAGGCACAGGCCCCGCCCGAGATTTTTTTTTAAAAAGTAAATCATCTGATAAAGGTATTTATCCAAGTTAGTGTTTTTTGGACATGGTATTATATTTTCATACCAGGGATTTCATTTTAACAAATGTGTTTCTTTTTTTTTTTTGAGACAGAGCCTCAAGCTGTCCCCCTGGGTAGAGTGCCGTGGCATTACAGCTCACAGCAACCTCCAACTCCTGGGCTCAAGCGAGTCTCCTGCCTCCGCCTCCCAAGTAGCTGGGACCACAGGCGCCCGCCACAACGCCCGGCTATTTTTTTGGTTGCAGCCGTCATTGTTGTTTGGCAGGTCCGGGCTGGGGATTCGAACCCGCCACCTTAGGTGTACGTGGCTGGCGCCTTAGCCGGTTGAGCTATAGGCGCCGAGCCACAAATGTGTTTCTTTAAAGAAAACCTTCAGTGGGGGTGAGTAGGAGGCTGACTTTGAACAGTGGCTCTTTGTGTCCTGCGGTAGGAGGACAGAGGAATCAAGGATGTTCTCCACATATTGCCAATGTGTGTCCTTTGCCCCTTTCCAGGATCCTTATATTTGTTTTCCTCCAACCCTACAATTTTGCAACAAGGTGCCTTATCAGTTGTGCGTTTACAGGCAAAGCGATTTCCCAAATAAATGAATATAAATACTCTTGTGTGGTGCTCATTTGTACATGTTGCTGAGTTTCAACTACCCTCGCCATTGAGAATCAGGATGGGCTGGAAACCAGACAATCCAAAATGGTGTTTTGGCTTTCTGCTCTCAGCATACTTCTGACCAAATCATTCTTTGGAAGCCAGATTTTCATCTTTCCCTTTTTCCTCTCTATCCTCCTTTTATAGTGGGGTCATTAATAACAAAAGTAGCTATGAGATAGGCAGCAGGAAAGCATACTGGAGAAGCAGTAGGCCTGCCTAGGCTTTTATAGAATGCCCAGGATAAGACTGTAACCAAGAAAATGATGGTTGTGCCTGAAATTCAAGAGTCGCAGAAACCTGCTTTCCTCTCACCTGATTTTCCTGGCTATGGGAAACCCAGTCATGTGAAGTCTTCTTTCCCCTAAATTTCTGACAGTTGCTGAGACTTGTTAAGGCAGCTGTCAGGACACAAACAGTATCTTTAGGAAAAGACATGACAAGAAAATGGTGAAGTACACTTGTTTAATTCCATGCATTTGTTTGCTTTGATAGTCGTTCTTGTTCCCATGGCTGTTCAATACAAAGGGAGCCCACATCAGAACACAAAACCGGGAACAGGGGACTAAGTACAGGAGACCACACGGGATGTGAGGGGGTGCATTTTGGGACTTAACCACCAAAAAGAAATTTAATCTGTCCAAGTTGACAGGAGTTAAAATTATCATACATGGAATAAAGAATCAAAGATGGTCTTGCCAAATCTGGAGTCTTGAAAGTGGTCACTTTGGAAGTAAAGAACCACTGGGATGACATCTTCCTAATAGCTTGTGCATTTTGGTCAGAGGTCCCTCTGGTCTGCAACCATTGGAGGACCCTGTCCACTTGGTCAATGGACAGTGGCCTGGGGCCAGGAGCCAGCCATCCCCTGCGTGCTGTGAAGTGGCTCGGAAGAGCAGGCTTGGGATGCTGCTGGAAGCTTCCTTACAGTGGCCTTGTTACTTGCTTGGGGCTTGGCTCTTGTAAAATCCCGCCATTGTGCCCCAGTCAGTCGATGGTTAACAAAATCCCTAACCCAACTCCTTTGGTGTCTATAACTCTGTTTCTCAGAATGGTGATTTCAGAGCTCACTTCTTTTGCCACCCATCCCTGAGAAATGCTCCAGGTTCCACAAGGGTCCTCCACTTAGCAGCCTATTTCATTCCAACTTAAAGAGGTGTTTGCAGTATCAGTTGTAACATGCAAACAGGCAGACTAACATGATTCTAATGTGCCAGTCTCTGAGGTTGCTAACACTGGTATTGTGAGTATACTGTGATGTCTGTCCTATGAAATCAGCAGAGAAGAAAAGTCTTGCTGCCTGGAAAGGCACTAAATTCACACTGACAGTACGTCACAGTCTTGAAAAGAAAGTCACATTGTTTTGGTATATCAGTCTCATAGTCTAAAGAAGCAAGTAACTGAGACTTACCATACTAACTTTCTGTTTATAGAAGGGAGGAACACGCTCAGTCAGTACAGTTAAATGATGTGAAAGCAGAGACATTTTGGAATTTGACCCATGAGCAATTGGTGATTCTTCTTTTGGAACTGTAGTCCAAAAGGGTAGAGATAGGTGGCCCTTCCTCTGCCAATGGTACTGTCCCTGACAGCCATAGGTGGGATTCTTAAGGAGAACTCTAGTATGAGCCTGTCATTTTCTCTCCTTTCAGAGCTAACTCAAAAGTTCATCTTTAAAAAATTATGAACTTTGAGCGGGGATGGCAAATGGGTTTCCCTTTGCAAGGGGTAATTATTGCTTCATGTGCCATGTTGTGAGAGGTTCTGAGGTTTGTACACTCAATGCTCAATAAGTAATGTTGGCTTTGGGTGTTTAGGATGGAGGTGGTAAGTAGGTCATATTTTGGTTTCTGGTTCACCGGTAAAACAAAATAAAAAACAGCACACGTTACTGTGTAGTGGGGTAGGAATTTCTCCAAATATTATGTTATGGAGATTTCAGTTCCAGGAACTTCAAATAGGAATGTTTTGAGAAAAGAAAAAAAAAATGGAGCTTTTTTTTTTTTTTAAAGTAAATCATCTAATAAATAAGGGTGCATTTACTCTCAAAGGATATCAGTGCTCCATAGTGGGAGAGAACAGTTTAAATACGGTAGTTTGGTACTAGGAAAATCCAAAACACATCTATTACTCAGGGAAGGAGAAGGGCATAATTTAGCACAACAAAGCCCTATCGTAGATGCCCTACTAAATCCTACTAAAAATGTCCTCATTTTAGAAGGGTAGATTTGTCGATACTAACATTTTCAAACACAGTATCTGAACTTCAGTAGGCCATACAAATCATCTTACATTAGGGGTGGCATCTTCACCTTCCTGCTTGGGAGCTCCCCACAATCTTGCAAACAGGGGTAAATTTTAGTGCTGGTAAGATCCATTATAATTTCAAAGTGGATGCAGGCTTCCCAGTCCTTCTGCTATGCAATTTTAAGAGGAATTGTTATTCAGAGGACATGATCTAGAAATAGATGGAAATCAGAACCAAATGCTCATCTGCAACATAAATTAAAACTCATTATCTTACAGTCAAAACCAGATGTTGAATGCATATGGATGTTCATGCCAAGGGTATTAAGCTTTCAGTGAAGAAGCTTGAAATCAGCCTTGTGATGTCCTTGGAGCACTGTTGCACACTTCTCAGGACTGAAAAATTAGCTCATAAATTCCCTGAGCTCTTGATTCAATACTCTTCAGATGAGTGTGGAGTTATTCTCAAAGAAACATATATCAATTCAAGATATCCCTGCTTATTATAGGCAGGCAGGGAAGGGCCAAGCTGGGATAGAGAAGGCATTTACCTTTTTAACCAGAGAGCACTGGTCCTCCTGAAACTTCTGGTCAATTCTACTCAAAAAATGTATTCCAAGTGGACCTTATTCAACTCTTAACAACACAACGAATGACTAAAGATTCAACCATTGTGTACTACCTTAATATGCTCAGAACAGTTAATCTAGGGAAGGCGTATGCCATTAGCATAACAGATAGTAAAGAATGGGAATTCAAAAAACTGATAAAAAATATGAGGTATCTGGGATGGGTTTTCTAGGAAGACCATAACAGAAAGGTAGAAGACAGAACTTGACCCTCACGTTTCTCAGTTGCCACTAAAGGTGGGCAACAACTGGATAAACTAAAGTGTCAGTGTTTTATGTTGGGCAGAAAGTAGACATAGAGTTGTAGTGTCCCCATTCTAAGGAGTAATGCACCAAAAAAAAAAAAAATATATAGTTTGATCTGAAGTCACTATATGGCCTTTCAAGGTACGTTTCCAGCACTTGATCCTTTAAGTGACTGTGCCTTTTTTTTTGACTGTCTTTAATCTTATTATGTGATGACATCATAGCTAGGCATTTTATGTCATGCCATATATACATATATGTATATATGTACACACATTGTATATACATACATATACATATATATTTTCACACACACACAGTAGTCCCCCCTTAGCTGTGGAGGATATGTTCCAAGAGCTCCCAGTGGATGCCTAAAACCGAAGATAGTACCAAACCTTTATATAGGCTACGTTTGTTCCCATACATACAGACCTATGATAAAGTTTAATCTATAAATTAGGTCTAGCACTCTTGCCTTTTGAGGCTATCATTAAGTAAAATAAAGGTTACCTGAACACACACACACTGCAATAACTGCCACAATTGATCTGATAACCAACATGGCTACTACAAATGGGTAGGACATGTCCACAGCAGGGATATGCTGGACAGAGGGAGGATTCACACTCAAGGTGGCATCGTGCAAGATTTCGTCCACGTAACTCAGAATGGCGTGCAGTTTAGAATTTATGAATTGTTTATTTCTGGAGTTTTTAATATTTTCAGTCCATGGTTGATTGTAGGTAACTGAAAGCAAGGCAAGTAAAATCTCAGATGAGGAGGGACTACTGTATATAATTTTTTCTTAGTCTCCTTGCTAATCTGAAGTAAAAGAAAAGAGGGTGGTGTTGAAGGATCTGGCAGTAAGGAGATTACGACCTATGTTGTCAATTCTTGAAACTAATCCATGAGCCCCACGAAAAATCTCTCTAGGACTGTTCCTCTTGGGGCATTAAATAATTCTTTTTTTTGCTTCTAATGTAGTCCCATGATTTTAGTTCCTAAGATACTTGAGGAAATTTACAGCTTTTGAACTATTTGCCCATCCACTCAGTCATCTGCCCACCCTGGAGCTTCCAGGATCCAGTCAAACTCACAATGTATCCATTGGGCTTCAGGGCAGAAAACACATCCTCAGATGATTGTTATTGTTAAGTAGAAAATTAGGGAATACAGCTAAAATGAATAACAGGGAGCTCCCAAATGGCAGTTCCATTTTCATTCCTTCATTAAAATCATAAAACCCATAATAATTCACAGTTAGCGATAAACATGATCATTGTGCTACACTGTAAATCACACCTTCTGATCAACAGAAAATGAGAATGGTAATATTATAAAATAAAATAACAATGATAATAATGCCATAACTTAAGACCTTTCATGTAGTCCAGCTACAGAATTTATACAAAATGGAATAATTTAATGCAAACAATACTGCTTTCTGTATAAGTTAAACATTTTCCTTCATTCTACCTAAGAGCTATAAATCATAGACAATAAATTTTAAAATCAATGTCTCAACATAAAGTGTAAACAACTGGAGGGATCAAAGAAGCAAAAGGAACTGCTCTAAATTCCCTCCTGCTCTTCCTTTTTGGCTGATGCAATTAGTGAAACCCAGAGGAGGGGCAGCATTCTCATCTGCACTGGGAAGGGTTTAACAGCTACTGGGGGCGTCTTTCCTAACGTTCAACATGATGCAGTGAGAGTCTAGTGAATCCAAGGGTTGTTTGGTAGTAACCTATCTTGGAGACACAGACAGGAACTAGGTCAACATCTGTTTGTCTATAAAATTCTACACACAATTTTCCTTAAAGCCAAGGTACCACGAAGTACCTTGGGATGCTTTTCGGAGCCCATGACCCTGGAGATAGGAAGGACCTCATGCTTTTGACAGTGTAAAACTCTTTCCAATCCTTGCTCAACATCACTGGTCTTTCTACCAATTTCTAAATCCAATTATTCAAAACCTCATTGATTTGGAGTGGAATAAAAGTTATTTTATAAGTAGCATTCAACACAAATGCTAATATGCTGGGAGAAGAATTGCCTTTTGGAAGTTGCTTATTTTGCCTTTATTCTGACAGTGGTAGCCAGTCACTAAAGCTTCTAGGATAGGTTTTAATGAATAAAAACCAGGGGATGGTTTAGGGCTAGACACACACACACACACACACACACACACACACACATCCTAGCTGCCTTCAAAGTCTGTTCTTCTGTTTGAATCACTATGTTTGTAGCAGACAAGTAACCTGGTTCCAGAGAGGGGCAATCCCATCTTGTCCATGTAGCTGAACTGGGCCATCCTAAGAATATATTTTTAAAACTTCCACATTCGTTTTTGTCTAACACTGTTAGAGATTTTCCTTTTCTCTGATTCTTTTCTTCTCCCCAGCACAGTTTTTCCTAAAGGTCAGCAGGTAGAAAGGAAATAAGCTACAAGAAAATGGCACTTGAGTCTACAACACATTTGTCACAGTCATGACAATGACAGCATTAAAAGGGGAAATATTTGTCAAGGACAAGGTTTGACGCTATCTGTAAGCCTCACTATCAAATGCTGCTTAAAATTTTAAATATGAAATCAGCTTCCACATATACAGTTTGTTATTGTTTTTTCCTCCTAGAGGAAGTACATGTCCTCAAGGACCCTGGGTGCAAGTATCTGGTCACCAAACCTTTTAAGGATATTTCCATCACCCACCGGCACAATATGGTTGAACTTAATGTGGTCTGGTCCCAAGTCGCCTGGAATTGCTTCTCTTTTGCTGTTGTTTATGTTCTAAAGGCTCAATGTGTCTCATCTTCAGTCATTCACGGCCAAAAGACCTGGTCCCCTATTCAAGCAACAATGATACCTCCCACCCCCACGAATTCCCAAGGATGTTGCTTCTATATGTCACTTCTTTTTCTCTTTTCTTTCTTCTCTTTTTTTTTTTTTTGCAAGAAATTATTGTATCTCTCTCTATCTCATATATAGTTCACTCTTTACAGTACAAAGTGTTAAAATGTCAAACAAAAATAAATATCAATGTTACAGTAGCTAGAATATTCAATAAAATAGATCCCTGCCATTCTTGATTGAAATGTTCAGTGAGACTTAATTTCATTTGGATATTTTTTTCCAGAGATTTGCGAAGTCTCATGTTCCTGTTATTGCAGCTCATTTCTAGGGGTAGTAAAGATAGGGCAGTTCTCTTCCCGGACATAAAGCAGGTAGAGAGTGGGAAGAGTCTGGGGCTGGGTGGATTTGAAATGCCAGTATAGTTACGAGATCTTCAGGATGTGTACTCCTTCATTACCAAGTAGCAGAGCTGTAGTGTTTATTGGTCCTAACTGTGGCATCAGAACACTCCCCCTCTGAAGAGTCACAGTCCGATTCTTCAAACTGCATAGGGTTCTGCAAAGTCAAGGCAAAATAAAACCTGAATTGATTTCTGTAAGTATTCAGTAAACATGTTTTGAACACTGCCCACACAACAGGCACTGTTCTTGGTAGGGAGGCTACAAAGATAAATGAGATCAGGCCCTGTCCTCGTGGGACATATGGAGGAAGAAGACTCATGGAGATGATGATGGTTTGTGGTGGGTGCCTGTAGTCCCAGCTACTTGGGAGGCTGAGGCAAGAGAATCACTTAAGCCCAAGAGTTTGAGGTTGCTGTGAGCTGTGATACCACAGCACTCTACTGAAGGCAACACAGTGAGACTCTATCTCGAAAAAAAAAAAAAGATGATGCTGGTGACTACAACAGCTATGATAGTACCACCCGCTTACATGGCATTTACTCTGTTCCAGGGACTACTATAAGAGCTATACTTCTGCTAATCCATGCAATCCTCACAACAACCCTATGAGATAGATGCTATTGTCACCCCCATTTTACAGATAAGGAAACTGACCTACAGCGAGGTTAATAGCTTGCCCAAGGTCACATAGAAAGGCAGTCAGATTCCATTTTCAACCTATGCTATCAGGTCTGTCCAAAGGCAGTAATGTTAATGTGTGTGTGTGTGTGTAGGTCTGTGTACACACACACATATATATTATATATATAAATATATAAAAAGTATTACATGTGCTGTCCAGGGGATATGGAGAAAGAAGGTTCAGACCTTTAGCCCTGTTGGGAGAGGGGTCAGAAGGAAGGGATGTCCAAGTTAAATCTTGTAATGAAGGGTTCCTGAACAGTTCAGTCATTGTGCCTCATTTGGGGAACTGCCCTCATTTTGGGGAGTTCTGTTGGTCTACTTAATTCCCAGAGATGGTTGTATCTTACAAACTAAATGAAAATGTAAAGGCCCTAGATACTTGAACTTAGTCTAACCTAGGAGGGGAAAGTGCCAGGAAGGGAACAGTGCCGAGAGAAGGGAGAAGCCCCACCTCATAGCCACGCTCCTCGGCGCACAGCTTGCCCAGAGACATCTGCGTCTTCACGCGGCGCACGGCACACTCCTTGTCAGAGAGCCCGTCTGAGTGTGAGGATATCTCAATGGGGATCTCCGGCGTCTGGGATAGCAGGTCGTCTAGCTTCTCCGCCAGGCGGTCTTCAAGTTTCTCAGCTAACTCATCAGGACTGTTGGAGTGGTCACTGGTATTTCCCTCCTCCCCATCAGACACGGAGAAGTTCTCAGAGCTGAAGGTCGAGTACGACTGGCAGCTGCTGATGCACCGGTGGGGCCTAGAATCACAGGGAGCCAGAAGAACTTAATCACAGAAATGCTGGTCACAGTAGTGGTGAGACAATCTAGCTTTTTTTTCCTGTCCCCAAGAATTAAGACACATAGAAACTATTTAATTTTAAAGCAACAGAGAGGTGCGATGGACTGAATTGTGGTCCCTTCCCCCCAAATTCTGTGTTAAAGACCTAATACCCAGTGAGACTATATTTGAAGATAGGGCTTTTAGGAGATATTTTAAATTAAATGAAATCTTAAAAGAATGGAGTCCTAATCAGAATCTGTGGCCTTCTAAGAAAAGGATGATCCCTCTTCCGTCTCAAGTTATCCCTCATCCTCCCCATCTTCAGTCTGTGCACTGAAGACACAGACAGGAGGCAACTGTTTGACAGCCAAAAAGAGCGTGCTCACCCGAAACCAAATCCTCTGGCATCTTGATCTTGAACTTCCCAGCCTCCAAAGTGTGAGACATAAATTTGTTGTTTAAGTCACCACCTAGTCTGTGGTATTTCGTTATGGCAGTGTCCAGGGTGACTAACACAAGAGGGAAATTTCATTTGGTTTATGTGTTTATGAGACTAAATACTACACTCTGAGCTGATGGCTACCACTGGGCTTTAAGATAAAGCAGCTTGTCTAATCACACTGTGTACACCTATGCATTGTATGAGAAGGTCCACATTGAAATTATGGCAGAAAGTTTGATGACAGAGGATGTAGGCCTGGTGGCCGACCAGGTCAGGTGATAGGGTGAGAGTTGGGGGATCAAAAACATGTGAAAAGAGGCCATTGAGAGGCCAGAAATAGATTTCCATTGAGAACAGATTTATTTATTTTTATTTTATTTTATTTTATTTTTTTGAGACAGAACCTTAAGCTGTCCCCCTGGGTAGAGTGTCATGGCATCACAGCTCACAGCAACCTCCAACTCCTGGGCTGAAGTGAGTCTCCTGCCTCTGCCTCCCAAGTTGCTGGGACCACAGGTGCCCACCACAACTCCCGGCTATTTTTTGGTTGCAGTCGTCATTGTTGTTTGGCGGGCCCAGGCTGGATTCGAACCTGCCACCTTAGGTGTATGTGGCTGGTGCCTTAGCCACTTGAGCCATAGGTGCCAAGCCTTGAGACCAGATTTAAAATGTGTGTACAGTGTGGGGATCTGGAATAAAATTTATCAAAGGGCTAGGACTTCATTGTGTTTTTTGGAATTCCTATTTGGGGGTAGATACACAAACCTTCCTGGAGAGATACTTAGGGCCTTGCTCTTCAAGGACAGAATGTCTAGTAGCAGAAAAAGGACTTCTAGGAGGAAAACTACCCTCTCCACTTCTAGGAGAAGCTTTTATTCTGGGAGTAAGGGAAGATGGCCCCTCTTTAATCCTGCCAGCAAAATCATTACTGCCACCTAAGGAGGAAGCTATTTCCTTCCTTCCTTCCTTCCTTCCTTCCTTCCTTCCTTCCTTCCTTCCTTTCTTCCCTCCCTTTCCTTCCCCTCCCTCCCTCCTTCTCCCTCTCTCCCTCTTTCTCATTCTGTTGCCCAGGGTAGAGTGTGGTGGTATTGTAGCTCACAGCAACCTCAAACTCCTGGGCTCAAGTGATCCTTCTTGTCTCAGCCTCCCAAATAGCTGAGATTACAGGTACCCGGTACCACAGTGCCCAGCTAGTTTTGTATTTTTAGTAGAGACAGGGTCTCGATCTTGCTCAGGCTGGTCTCAAACTCCTGAGATCAAGCAATCCTCTTGCCTTGGCCTCCCAGAGTACTAGGATTACAGGTGTGAACCTGGGGTCAGGAAGCTATTTCCTAGGGTAGTTGAAGGAGGACTCAACTTATCTAACCATGTTTAACTTGAGGTGTAAAATTCAATGCATGGGGAATGCTATGAACTGAACTGTTCTCTTGCTAACTCATATGTTAAAGCCCTAACTCCCAATGACTGTATCTGGAGATAGGATCTTTAGGAGGTAATTAAGGTAAAATGAGGTCATAAAGTGGGACCGTAATCCAATAAGACTGTGACTTTATAAAAAGAGGACGATCTCAGGTAGCACCTGTGGCTCAGTAGCTATGTGGGTAGGGCACCAGCCTCATATACTGAGGCACCAGCCTCATATACCCAGCCCTGGCCAAACTGCAACAACAACAACAACAAAAATAGCCTGGCGTTGTGGCAGGTGCCTGTAGTCCCAGCTACTTGGGAGGGTAAGGCAAGAGGATTGCCTAAGCCCAAAAGCTGGACGTTGCTGTGAACTGTGATGCCATGACGCTCTTCCAAGGGTGATAAAGTGAGACTCTGTCTTAAAAAAAAAAAAAAAAAAAGGAAGAAGATCTCTCTCTCTCTCCTTACCTCCCCTGCCCGCCTCTCCTCCCCTCACCCCCCGTCTTTCTCTCTCTCTGCCATATGAGGACATAGTGAGAAGGTGGCTATCTGCAAACCAGGAGAGAGCCCTCACCAGGAACCAAATCCAACAGAACTTTGTTCGTGAACTTCCCAGCCTTCAGAACTGAAAAATACATTTCTGTTGTTAAAGACATCCAGTCTGTGATATTTTCTTAGAGCAGCTTGAGCAGACTAACACAGGGAGATCCACTAGAAACCAATAAAATTAACCACAAAACAGCATGGCCACCCCTCAGAAACTACCCGCTGTATCTCAATTGTAACCTTGAATCTGTATTTCTACACCTCATCCTGAAGTTCCTATGAAATGCATTCTGATGAACTAGGACCTGTTGTGTATGACCAACTGCCAAAACGTGGCAATGGGAAAACACTCACACAGAGAGCTTGAATTTCCCTACAAGGTGACTGCCGGAGAGTGATTTGTGGTCGAGTATCAGGTGTGGCAAACTTAGGATTTATGTCCCCCTACCCCCCATACACTAAAAGCAGCTGTGTGCTTATTGGTTTTACCTCTGTCTTCGTGGAAATTCAACTTCACTGTCTACTTCCCCTTCTTCCTCTTCTGAAGAGTCATCTCCACTCTGAGGAGAGCAAAAAGAAAAAGTTTAATTCATTTTTGTCTCATCCCCACCTCCCACTACCTATAAAAGATTTAATTATCATCAAAAGGCATCGAGTAGTAGTTTGCGGAATGTCATCTTTACTTTTAGAGACAGGGTCTTGCCCTGTTGTCTGGGCTGCTCACACGTGATCCTCCCACCTCAGCATCCTGAGTAGCTGGGACTACGGGCATGAGTCACTGTGCCTGGCTCCCGAATGCCATCTTTGAACATATATATCCTCATTCATTCAGTTAGCAACTTTTCTTGGGTGCCCAGGATGAGAGATCCTGTACTACATGCCGAAGACATGTGGAATGAACCCAAATTATATCTTTGCCTTCAGTGAGGGAAAGCTCCATGAAAGTATTTACAGGTGAGTGATGGAGAGGGAAACCGGAGAGGAGGTCTTGGGTTTGGGGGCAGTTTCTTGTAATCATTGCCACTACTGGTTCTAGGCTCTGCCATAGAGATTTCACCAAGAAGTGATCTTTTGATTTTTTTTTTTTTTGAGACAGAGTCTCATTATGTCACCCTCAGTAGAGTGCCATGGCATCACAGCTCACAGCTCATAGCAACCTCAAACTCCTGGGCTTCAGCAATTCTCTTGCCTTAGCCTCCCAAGTAGCTGGGACTACAGGCGCCTATCACAACACCCGGCTATTTTTTTGTTGCAGCTGTTGTTTGGCAGGCCCAGGCTGGGTTTGAACCCGCCAGCCCCGGTGTATATGGCCAGCACCCTAGCTGCTGAGCTATAGACACCGAGTCAATCTTCTGATTCTTTAAAGCCCAACAGCTACTTTCCCTCTTTTTATATACCAATTACTTTTCCACTAATATATAGTTATAATAGGACATTATTTGAGGGTCAGGCCATATCTTGTTTGTATCGTATTCCTCACTCCACCATCAGTGCACACCCCCATAAATAGATACAGTTGTTATTTGTCAATTCAAAGAAGGTTATTAATGCATTTTTATTCAGTCAGCACATCTGCAGTGATTAGGGATCACTAGCTAGCCTGCCTAAGGCCCTATGATTCCGAGGGCTCTGTGTTTGATCTGGAAGACTGAGTAAGTACCCTAACCAAGAAGATGATCTTTCCTTACAGAGATGATCTCATCTCACATCAAGGGCCTAAAAGCAGCCATGTGTAAGGTCAACTGTCCTTAGCAGCATCTTTTACACTGGATCACCTAGTCTTTTATGAGGTGGGCAATCTGGTCTTGGTAACTAGCAAAGATTGAGGATAACTTTTCTTTTTAAAGTCAGTTCTAGAATACATGATTCTTATTTATATTCTGCTGTAGTTTTAAAAAATTACTTTTTAAAATTTATTTTAGAGATGGGATCTCATTATGTTGCCCAGGCTATAGTGTGGTGGCTGTTCACAGGCAAGTAATCATAGCTCACTGCATCCTTAAATTCCTGGACTCTAGCGATCCTCCTGCCTCAGCCTCCTGGGTAGCTAGGACTCCAGGTGCCTGGCTGGTGTATCTTTCTGAATAGTAAAGACAGGGGTGCTGCTGTTCTAGTTGCAGAGATGAGCAGCTTCCCCTAGGAGTACCTGGGAGAGTGTGTCTTGGTAATGAGAAATTATCCTGTTCCATGGGAGTGAGGTTCTAAAGAGGCAAAATGTACAAAGTATGTGCTCTGTGTCCTGCAGACCCACAGATGGCATCAAAATGGCATCAGGATGGTTCAAAGACACATGTTATTTGGGTGAGGATATGGAGTTTATTTTGGAAGTAATGAAATTGTTTAAACATTGATCATGGTGATCATTGCACCAGCACTGTGGATATAAGGCACTGAATTGTACGCCGTAGACAGAAGGACTGTATGGCATGTGAAACATCTTAATAAAGCTGTTACCAAAAAAATGCATGTAACTCGCCCTAGAGGAAGGGGGAGCAGAAAATGGATGAGCCCAAGTCAAGTGCACAGTCTGAAACACATTTTAATCTCTAGGAATGCTTAGTCAGATTAGTAGCAGCAATGAAATGTCTAGTTGACTACACATACTCATATGCATTTTATACTCTTCCATTCCTTCAACTAAATTGCTGATGAATAACGATGATGATGTGAAACAATACTTAGAGTTGTGTGGGTGTCTACCATGTTCTAAATACTTTTCATACATAATCTTATGTTTTAACTCATTGGAAAAATGAGCTAATATTTTTAGAAAGCTGCCCTGTTCTAAGTGCATTATATGTATTAACTCAGTTAATCCTTATATCAACCAGTGAGGCAGACTCTGACATTAGACCCATTTTATAGGCAAGGAAACTAAAGTTCGTAGAGGTACTAAGTGGAAGAGAGCTTGGCTTTGGATGGAGATTAGTCTGACTCCCAAGCTTGTGATCTTTCTGTGGTGGTCTGCCTCCCAGCTGATGAACCCCAGGCAGCCAGTGGATAAGGACAAGAGAAACAGGTTTCAGTGACTAAGAACTGGCTGGGTCATGATGGTTATTAAGGCCATGTTTTCAAATGTATATTGTGAAGACAGCTAGTTGGATGGGGAATTAATAGATTTTTTTGAGACAGAATCTCACTCTGTTGCCCAGGGTAGAATACGTCAGCCTAGCTCATGGCAACCTCAAACTTCTGGGTTCAAGAGATCCTCTTGCCTCTGCCTCCTGAGTAGCTGGGACTACAGGTGCCTGCTACAACAATTAGCTAATTTTTCTACTTTTAGCAGAGATGTAGTCTCACTCTTGCTCAGGCTGGTCTCAAATTCCCGAGCTCAACCAATCCACCTGCTTCAGCTTCCCAGAGTACTAAGATTACAAGTGAGAGCTGCCATGCCCAGCCTAATAGATGTTATTTTTAAAAGGATGTATGGTCAAATGGCGGAGGTAAATGCTGGGTTAAACTAGTTTTCTGCATGATTCCTCAAAGCCTGCGATTTGTTAATGATCACTAGGAATTTCCATGATAGGACAGAGAATACTGTGCTTCTCCAACTTATTCTATAGTGAGATCCTTACTTCTTGTACTATCCCTCAGGACTGGGGTTCTAGGGTAGTGGTTTCTAAACTATTTTGATTACATGGTAATATATCTAATCTAAATATGGTTATCTATTTATGCATGATATACATTTGAATCAGTACCCCAGTTGAGTGGTTACTAAAGTGTATTTCCTATCATTTAAGCACTGTGAGAAGAAAGTATTTAAAGTAAAAAAAACATCTACTTATATTTTTGTTATCTCACCCTTTTGGAAAATGTATACTGTTTACATATGCTTTATAACGTGCATAATATGACAGGCTCTGACGTTCTTTGAAGCCATACACTTCTCTTGTCATTATACTTTACCTTCTGAAGGGGCCTTGTTTTACGAGGTAGCACTGGGGGAGTGACGTGATGAGGGGTGCCAAGGGATGATGCAGTCCTACACGTGTTGAATTCATCTTCTTCCATTTTCTCAGAACTCTGGGCATTTTCTGAGAGGGGATTGTGTGCTGGTGACTTGGAAAGGTCAGGGCTCCTCCCCGCTGGCTCAGCGGAGGGTATGTCCAAAGACCCAGACTGTTCTGGTCTGCACTGGAGGCAAGGGTCATAAGGGTCAGCCTGACAACAGCCCCAGGTGTCAGCTTGACTCCTGTCTGGCTCAGGACTTCTCCAGCAATCTGCTGCCATGGCTGTGGAGATGAGGTCGGGGCTCGAACCAGGCATCTGTCTTTGAGCATGGTTACTGAGTGGGCTCCGCAGGGCTGCTGCTGGGCCAAAGTATCTCAGGTTGTTGGTGCAGGTTGCAATGTCCTGTCCGTGCATAGTGAGTCTGGGATGGTGACTTTGAGACATGGCAGGAGAGGGTTGCTGGTATTGCTGCTGCAGATTATGGTGATGGAGAGAAGGGTACTGGGATTCAGCTTGGTGTAGGTGGGTAGGATGGGGTGAATTTTCCTGGGCCGGCTGGTTTTTCAGGATTGCTGCAAAGTCACTATGGCTGCCCCTGCTATTCCCCCGGCGGTGGCGAGGTTTGCATCGATACCGGCTCTTACTGCTTGAGGTGGACATTTTGGGACTTCCCGACAAAGGAGATGCAGTGGGAGCCACTTCTGTACTGGGGATGCCTTCAGATTTCAACAGATCTGGCCTGGGAGAAAAGTACAGGCTTAGTTTTAAACACATGAAAACACATTCAAGTCTGGGAAAACGCCTATCAAGCCTTAAGAGACACATACCCTTTGAATCAGCAGTCACAGATGTAGGACTCATCCAGGGGAGATAAAATATGCGCACCGAAGAGGTGTGTTTGATGATGTTATGTTACAGCATTGTTTAAGATAGTGAAAAAAACATAAATGTCCACTCACAGAGGATTTCCACAATTCCTACTTGGTTTTATTCTGTACCTCACCAACCTAAGTACTCAATGCTCTGCTGCTGCTGCTACAGTGCAATGATATCATCATAACCCACAGCAGCCTCTAAGTCCTGGGCCCAGGTGATCCTCTGATCCTGGCCTCC